TTTGAGATTGCAAAGCCAAGCATGATAGGGCAAAGGGGAAAGTGCTTATGATCCAGGGTTCAGACCAGTTGCTTCACTTTTCATTTTCCGTGTCCATGAACTTTGAGAAGGAATATTTAACACCTGTGTGCTTGCATCTTTGAGTAGTCTTGTGTTGATCTAGGTCAATCAATGGATTCGTGATTCTTTACAAGTTGACTGTAGGCATTGATTTGATAGTGCTGCTGCTTGCTGTGACCATTGAAGCAATTCAGTGAGCAATTTTTTTATTTTTTTATTTTTTTTTTCAACGCTTCCTGTTCAGTTGCAGCGTAGAAGCTTTAATTTTTTGGCTGTGATAGCTGATGCAGTGACAAGTTCAGGTCTGATTAAATGATTTTTGTGTTTGTTTTTAGGGGTAAAAATATGTTTCAAGTTTAATGCAAAATGTTAAACAAAACCAAAATTTATTTGGTGTTTGGTTTTTTTAAAAAATAAACAGAAGGAACTTTTCCTTATTTTGCTCACGCTTACTGCAGTAACCGCTTCTCTCCTCCCCAGGAGGTAGAATTAGTGTTGGAACTGGAGAGGGCTGACTGACCATACGGCTGCTGTTTCCAGCCTCTCCCACCTCTTCTCTAGGGATGCTGCTTCCACCTCTTCCCACCTGGGCCCGTGCTCAGCCTGGCTGCTCTGCATTGCTCCAGAACACATCTTGCCTAAGAACAAAACCTGCTGCTGTGGGTTTTCTAACAATAAAAAAAAAACCAAACAAAAAAAACCCAACAGATATTTCAGAATATATCAACCTACATTTTTTCCTGTCATCTGCTTGCTTCGCTGTTTCCTCATTGCGCATTTTCTTTGCTTGTAAATCCCCTGCATGGAATTCATCCCTATTCCCTGAAGGGCTGCCCGTGCCCTCTCCATCCCTGACCCTGTAGCCAGAGGAGCGAGGGCAGGACTGCAGATGGGCTTGTGTATACAGATGAAGACCTTCCATGACTTTTGTCCCGGTTTAAGGAATGCACATATTGATCTCAGATCCGTAAAGCCCACCATTATTTTTGCTGTCTGATACATACCAGGCTTCTGAAGAAATCCTGCCCTTTTGAGGGCTCCAACCCAAATTTTTGATCACCAGGAAAAGCATACAGATTTGTAGAAAGAGTTTGTGTTTCACTGCTGCAGCTTTGCAAGGACGAGGTGAGGAGAACTGGTAATGCCCACACACCTGCCTCTGCCTTCCTGTAGAAACCTGCTGCTTTTGTGCTTGGTGTGTTTGGCTGCTTTGTCTGCTGGTGAGCTCAGCAGCCAGCGTGCCAGCCTGGCTGATGGCTGTCCCCCTAGCAAATGTGCAGGGATAAACAAGGCTGTGACACAAGTTTTTAAGTCTGAGCTCATCTGCAACAGATGAGCAACCTTCAAACTTCTCCCACTTCAGCTGGGCTTAAATTACTCCAATTTTAATGCTTGGTTGTGCAGTAGGTTTTAGCTTTTGCTTCAAGATTTTGCTTTGCTGAAAGAAGACCTTGGCTTCATTTGTGTTACTGGTTTAAATGTAGTTTGCAGTGCAGTGTTACAGAAACGTCCTTTGTAAGGTCACTGGCAGCCCTTCAGCAGTCAGCCTGCTTTTCCCGTCTGCTCCCTCACAACGGGGGAACCTCGCTTCTTCCCCTTTTTCAGGTTTCTCACTATTTTTTTTTTTTTTAACTTGCTCCTTGCATAGTTGAGTAAATGGGAGATGATCGAAAATTTTTCATCCGGAATGTAATTGCCAGCTTGAAGGGCAAAGCGGGTTGCAGGTGGGTCATCTGTCAGAAGAGGTGTCCTCAGGAGCCTACTGAGAGCTAGTGTAGGACTGTTAGTGCTCTGAAGACTTTCTTAGCTGTGGAGTTAGTTTTCTCTGGCAGCAGTTCTGCTTGCCTTAGAAATTCATTACTCGTTTTCAACTCTGCCTTATACAGCACATACTTCCTTTGCTTTAGAGTGGGGAGAAATGCTTTAATTTACATAAAGGTTGAGAGCTGCTCTGGACCCGAGTGTCACCACAACAGCATGTTGATAGGGGTAGGGGGGTGGGTGGATGTTTCTGTGCAGGGTGTTGTTGGTTGCAAGGGCACCTGCTGGGCTGGACTTCTGAGTCAGCGGGTGATGGGGTAAGAACCTCCCTGGGGTTTCTCCCCACAGCAGCCCCAGCACTGCTGTGGAGGGGAAGATCTTGCTCAGACCTCCTGGTTGTGCCATGAGCACACCAGCACTTCTCCTGGTCTCGACTACATGTTACATCAAAGGACTGGTTGCTTGTTGAGCTTTGGGCTGTGTGCTTTGGTGAAGTGACCTGCTCCCCTGAAACCTGACTGTATCGAGACATATAGGAATGGAGAAATGCTTCTCCCAAGCCATACAGTCCAGTTCTCTGGTTCAGAAATGGCTCGTGCTGGTTGGTCTGACAGGGGAATGCATTGCTTGTGCAGGGGGATGGGAAAGGAGAGGCTCATAGTCCCAATTGCAGTGCCTTGGGCTTTGAAATGATGACAGAAAATTTTCCTGCTTGCATTTGTTCTCATTTAGCTACAGCTTGTTCACCAGGATGTTTTTCAAGGAGGGTCTGGTCAGTGTTGGCAAAGTCTTTTATTTCCCAAGCGTGCTTATCACTTTGTCCTTGACAACGATGGGAACTTTCGGCACTTTTTTTTTCATTTAGAGGCAAACATGAGAAAGCCTGCCTTTGCAGGCAGCATTGTACTGGTTTTCCTGTGGGCTGAATCACACAAGACAGATAAAGTTTCCCCAAAATGATGTTGGCTTTGCAGATGTTAGACCTGGGAAAGCTTGGTGGGAGGGTAAGGAGGATTAATATCTGAATTGCAAGCTGAACAAATACAGCAGTTCAAGTAAAGTACCTTCCATCACCTGTGAAAATGTGTTTTGGTGTAGGATGAACAATAAAATCTTGACTGTCATAATAATTATGTGAGTTTGTGCCTGGAATAGGGCAGTATTGGTGGGGTGATGCTGCTTAACCACAGGAGTGGAGAATGGTTTAGATCTATCAGATAAAGCGGAGGCTGCACACACAGAGAAGCAGTTGATGTTTGCCCTCTGCCCTCCCTTCATGTGAATCCTTAGATGGTTTAGACTGCAGGACGTGAATCAGGAGCTTACGTTTTAAGAAAGACGCGTATTTTCAAAGTACAAGATTTTTTAGATGCAGATATCATTTTACATAAGGATTCACTGGAGATGATAGAGTGCTTGTGGGGCAGACTTAAAAAGCATTCATTAGAAGGATGATACTTAAATCTCCCATCTCTAGGGGAGAGTAAAACCTCGGTGCCACATATACCTTGGAAAATTTCCTCTGTGTCTTTGGAACTTTGATTACTTTCTATTTGTTTTTTGTTACCTATGTGTGCAATCAAACAGGTTTTATTTCTATCTAGATACAATCCTTGTTACTTGGTAAGATTTGAGTCTGTAAACACCCTGCATAACTAACATCTTTTGCTGTGGGAAGGTGAATTATGGAGGAAGCCGTTCCCTTTCCCACATTGCTGGTGTAAAAGCGGTAGCCAGGAGAGGTGTGCAGGTGCTCTTGAGAAGTTACAAGAATATTGGCACAACCCTTACAAGCACAAGGTTTTTTTCTAGCATCACAGGGAAGCTTTGGAAGTACAAGGAAGGCCCTTTTTAGCGTCATCCCCATTTCCTAGTAGAAATATTTGGGGAATCTTGTTTGAAGGAATACAGTCAAAACAATAAAGGCTAATTAATAAGGGCCCTTGCCTGTTGATAGAACTAGTTTTCTTTAACCATCAACCATCATGCATATAGGGTTATGATGCATAAAACCAAACAGAATATTAGTATCTCTTGCTAACTGAAAGCTGTGCGCTCTTGCTTTTGTTTACAGTCCATTAAAGCTTTCAGCAGAGATGCAGTGCTGGGATCTGCCAGGGTACAAATGAGTTGAGAGCACAGCACCCGCCAGCTGGCATGGCTGCTGTCCCCAGCCTGATCTCAAAAGGCAGACTAGATTTATTAAGACAGTGATCAATAGTGGGGAAAGTGCTAGAAGTGTAACCAGAGCAAGATGCTTTGCAATAGCATTTGGGTTTTGGCTGCTATCCTCCTCCCGATTTATCATGCACAAAAAGCCATTCCTACCTGCAGAGTAGAAAACAACTCAAACGCAGGGTATTCGTACACCCAGCAAGAAGCACTGGTTATGTGTTTCAAGAAAATTAGAGTGTAACAGTCAGCAAGAAAGAAACTTGGTCCCTGAATGTGGCACCAATTTTCAGTGTTAAAAAATACCAACCTAACTACCAGTCTTGGTGTGACCCTTGCACCTGGTCCCATTTCCCTGACAAAAATAAGGTCCTCAGTTGTATGAGGTTGAGGATGGGTTGGCTTGAAATTTTCCTTTCTCCTCTATTAAAAATAAATGTAGGGGAAATTTTGTTTACTTTCTTTTTCCCAGAGGATTGTTTGGGCTGCAAGCAGAACTGCCATCTGTACATCTCGGTAACTGAACCAAGGTGGGACTTTGACCGTATCCTCCGTGGTCACTTGGTTGGGACCGCACCGAATGCTCTCAAAAGTGGTTGTGAAGATGCTGATTCTGGATATGTTTGAATGGCCAAGTGTTGACATGCTCTGTTCCAGGGACTGAAATTTCATATTTCCTCTCGCATGCACACTAATTCCGTTACTTCAGCTAGTGTTTTGTGGCTGCCATCATCTTATATGGCTGCCTAGACTGATCCTGCTGTTTCAGGCTATAGTTTTTTCCTCCACTATTGCAGTAGAGGAATGCACTGAAGCTGAAGTCGAAGTCTCTTCTGTAGTATTTCCTACGATTTGGACCTTTCAGTGCATGTGGATCACTGGTCTGTCATACTGGAAAATAAAAGGGTGCAGCTGGTTTCCATTTTGGAGCCTCCAGCAGGAGCGTGCTTGTTAAGCAGTGATGCTGCAGGGCTTGAAGATTAATGCTCATGTTTCTCTTTCCCCAGAGATCATCGATGACCTCACTAACCTGGTTGAAAACACAGACGACAAGCTTCGCAACCAGACGCGGCATGTGAAGATGGTGGATAAGAAATCAACATCCTGTGGTAGGAAATGTCTTGAGCACAAATCCTGCCCTGTTATTAAATGATGAGAAACAAGTCTAGTGCTCAGAAGGTGTGTGCAGTGTGCTCCCCCAAAGTACAGCTGCTTTGAAAAGTTAAAAAATCCACCTCTCCAAACTCAAACATGACCTTAGCTGCTGTTGGAGGTTTGACTCGCTGCGCATGCTGTGTGTTGTTATAGTTAACTTCCTTCAGCCATTTGACTCCAGCATTGCACAATATTCTGATTGGAAATTGTAGAACTGTATGAAATGAGTGTGGTACATGTTAATTAGGTTTAAAAAACTTGCGAGCTACCAGCTCTCACAAACCGGTCACAGCGGGGAGTGATGCTGCAGGGACATTTCTGGCAGTGTCCTGCAGGAATGTGTTCTCAACCAAGTGGCATTCACAGCCTGCCAGACATGAAATCCTTGCTGGTGGCTCTTCAAGCTCCACGCAAACTGTAAAAGCTACAGTAAAGCTAAATTGGACTCTTTTCATATAGCCAAACGAGGTTATACATCTCAATAGAGAAAATGCAGGGCTCCTGGTTTTTTGGAGGATGCTGTGGGTGATGGCAGCAAATGTCTTTGCCTTGGGAGGATGAGTGGCACTGAGGGGAGGATGTCCATGGGGAGGTGGGGGTAGTGAGACTCTTCTGGAAATAGCATCTCTACTTTTGGTGTCCATGGTTTGTTTTTGGCATGCTAGAGGATTCAGAATGTTAACAAGAATCTTGTATGCTTGGCAGAAATTTGACTTGTAGCCAGAAGTTAACAAAATTTGGTTTATGTAGTTTAGGAAAGAGAAGTTGACTGTCTGGCTGGTGGGAGGCTTTTGTTCTGTGGAGTGATCATGTAGCAGCAAAAGTGAATGAGCTCAGACTGGCAACGAGACATTTTTCAAGCACTGAGGATATATTTCAGGGGTTGTTTAATTCTCTGTCACTGATAACTTTTTGAAAGTTTGGTTGATAGAGGTTGCTGAAAATCTGTGGCTTCTGGAGGTTAAAGTTGATATGTCAGAGGCATTTGGTTATGATATCTCTTGTACCAACTACAGATGAAATTAAAGGCGTGACTCCAGAGTTCAGGACTGGTTTTTTGTTTTTTTTTTGTTTTGTTTTAGATCGTTAATGTTGACACAAGATGGATTTAATCAAAAAATAATTGCACTTGAATGATGCCAAGTACCCCTGTGTCCCTTTGGAGTCTCCCCTTAATTTCAGCGGTTTCGTTTTCCACACAAGACAGGGAAGCACAACACAAAATGCCTGTGCAGGGCAGGTGGTGAATCCCTTTTCATACAGGACAGCTTCCCCCTCCTTGGGTATTTCTCCCCCCTTTTTAGGTTCCTCATGCGAGTGCAGCCCCCAGACAAAGTTGCTGGATAATGAGCCTGTCTCTTTAACTCTGAAGCCCATACTGGCTGCACTGGGGAATTTGAGAGGAGGAGGATGGGAGAGGGGAAGGCTGGGAGGATCCTGGGCTGGATTCCTTGGGGGTGACCTCTCTCACCCTTTCCACACTGAAAAACATTTTTCCGCAAGGGGTGGTAAGCGCTGCCTCTCGGTGCCTGTTCCCTCTGCTCCAATAGATCTTCCTGTGTTTGCATAACAATTTGGGCATATGTAAACACTATATTGCCTCAGATAGCTGTTTTATTCTGTCTAAGCATGAGTTTTAGAACAATAATGCTGGAAGAGACAGGCTTTGATGGCATTCTTCCCAACTTTTTTCCACCCTTATCCCTGGCTCTGAAAATTAACTAGCTTATTAAGATGAGAAAAACCCTCTGCATACATACAGTTTATTCCCTGAATAAAGCCAAGCAGCAGGGAAACTGGCACCTGCTAGGTAATTTTTTCAAAGTGCTTTTTTTTTCCCTTCCAACATTTCATTTAAATTGATAAAATCTTTAGTAAGTCTTTGGTTTCAGCATGTTACTTTGGATTTAAACAGGGTGAAGTGCTCAGTCTTTCCCCTTGCCCACCCCTTCCTTCCCCGGGATGCAGACGTTTGCTTGGACCTAGTTTCCACACTATTCCAGCATGTGCCTGTTTCTGTGTTTTTGCCTCATTTTTGTAATCATAATGTCTGTTGGGTTTTTTTTCTGGTGAGTGCCTGTACTGGAGCCACTGGCTGTGGATACAAGCAGAGCAGCCTGGCGTGAACAGTGGAATAATCACCCTTTTATGAGCAAGAATGCAACGCATTAATGGGTGTGTCTTTGTTAGCAGCCATTATAATAATAAAATCAAAGTATTGCTGATGAAATCCAACTTTAATCAATATTTCAACATCTTGCTCTCATGCAAGCACCATTTCAGGCTTTGGAGGTTGTTCCCAGTGACCAGCCCTTGGTGCTACCTGCTTGGCACCAGCACCTCTGGGCGCTGAAGCATTGCGGAGAGCAGTGTCTGCACCGCTGGCCATGCTCAGTCCTGGCAGAAACCTTCAGGTTGTTTTGGGTGGGTTGTTTCATTTGCAGTTTTATTTTCAATGCCGTTTATCTTGGTGACTCAAGAGCTGTTGACAATCCCACCCCTTGCTGCTGCCCAACGAAGGCTGCCCCGGTTGGAGCCCATCTGCCTTGGTGGCCCCGGGCAGCCCCACACTGGTGTCAGTGGGAACTCCCAGGGATTGCAGAGGAAGAATAATCATGTGATATACTCAAGTTTGCTGCATTTATGAAATTATTGTTGAAAATCATAAGTCATCTGCAGGCAAATGTTTGCACGCTGCTTGGCATTGTTTTATTTCTTTTTGGCATATGCTGGGCATTTAGGAGGGATGTTAGGACATACATATTTCTTAGATTTCAGAAATTTGCATTGAGCTTTCACCAAAATGTACATGTACATCATTAATCAAATGTTAGGCTGCCTTTGCCAAATTTGCTCTTAATGTCTGCATGCACAATCCTGACTTTTCAGTTTTACCACTGGTTCTCTTGGGTTGGTTTGTCCCCATTCTCTGTTTGCATATCTTTAGGGGTTTTTTTGTACAGAGTATAACACTCATTAACTATTTCTCGCTGACTTTTTTTATTAGAAACTAACCCTCAGAATGTCCTGTTAAAAACTGCATTTAAGTATACTTTCATTTCTTTGCTTATTTTTAAGGTTAAGATGCTGGGGGGGTGGTTTAACCACAGCTGGCAACTAAGCACCACTCAGCCACTCACTCACACGCCCTCTGCCTGCAGAGGGATGGGGGGAAGAGAATTGGAAGGATAAAAGTGAGAAAAATTTGTGGGTTGAGATAAGAACAGATTAATAATTGCAATATTAATAATAATGAAAATAGCAAAGAGAGAGAAATAAAACCCAAGAAAGACAAGCGATGCAGATGAAAATAGCGAGTATGCCGGTGGGGTGAGGTGAGAAGCAGAAAAGGCCTGGACTCTTTAGGCATGGCTCAGCAATAGCTAAAACATTCCAATATTATCAACCCTTTTTTCAGCACAAATCCAAAACATAGCCCCATACTAGCTACTATAAAGAAAATCAACTCTGCCCCAGCCATACCCAGCACATTCTCCACCCCTTATTCCATACCATTTATGTCATGCTGCAGTCCCACACTATCCAATACATCCTCATTAACCCCAACCACCTTCCTGTCCTTCGGTGCAATACGCAGATATCATTCCCCTGGTCTCTGGACCACCCTTTGAAATGCCTGTAAAATGTTCACAGATGTCATGTAGTCTGTGACTTTGGTCTCCATCTGTTGTGGTGGTCACTCAGGACACGGGAGGTGGTGCACTGGGTGGAGTTACTGGGCACCAAAGCCACCTCAGGCCTCACTGTGCACTTGCAAGGGGTGTCTTCCACTGGTTCAGGTGGTTCCTGCTATAGTAATTCCTGTAACATCGACTCAAATCCTAGGTTACAACACTTTAAAGGTATTTCCATTACAGTCTCCACCCCTGGTCCCTTTGGGCCAGGTTATAGGTTTCACATTGCAGTGAACTCCTCCCCTTGCTCCTGTCCTGGCAGCAAGGGGCTCCTGCTATAGTAATTTCCATAACATGCAACTCAAATAATGGATAATTTTCACCCAGGATTAAACAACCTTGCGGCACACTTTGGATCCCCCATCCTTCTGCATTACCCACCAAGTGTATCCAGGTCTTTGAGCTAAAACAATCCCACAAATAGGTTTACCTTTTCCTGAGGAAGGAATAACCTAGACTGTTTTTCCCAGCAAGTTCCTTCTCTGTACTGTGGGGCTCTTACCTCCTTCCACAGTGCACAGGGGTTTTGACCAGCAGGGCCAGGTCGACTGGCAGATCCTCTAGTATTAACTAGCCAGGTGGCTTCTGCTAACTGTGTACCCCAGTGCTCGGTGTCCCAGCACCCGTTGCTCCCAGTGTCATTTTCCACAGCCCATTGTACTGTTTGATTTCCCTGGAGGCTGGTGCACGACAGGGGATGTGCTACACCCTGTCAGTGTCCTGCTCCTCAGCCCAGGCCTTTGTGAGGTTGTTTTGGAAATGAGTCTTGTTGCCTGATTTAGTTTGTTCGGAGGTGCTGGACCTCCATAAAACTTGCTCCTCGAGGCCCAAGAAAGTATTCCTGGCAGTGGCATGGGGCGCGGGGTATGTTTTCAACTATCGAGGAGTCAATTCCCCCATTGTAAGTGTGTGCTGCTTGCCATGCCGAATTTGTGGTAGTGTGATATAATCCCTCTGCCAGACTTACCCTTACTGATATTTCAGCCATTGTCCTTTATACCAGAGAGGCTTGAGCCTCATAGCTTGTTTAATTATGGCGTATTTTTGACATTCATTGATAACCTGTGCAGTGGCATCAGTAGTCAAGTCCACCCCTCAATCACGATCCCATTTGTGCATTGCATCCCTTCATAAATGTCCTGATGTGTCACAGGCCCATCAAGCTATAAATCACTCACCTTTATGTTCCCAGTCCAGATCCACCTGAGCCACTTCTATTCGAGTAGCCTGGTCCACCTGCTCATTGTTTTGATGTTCTT